CACAGAAACCATTTGAAAAAAGTTTCATTCGAAAACCTCAAACCATGAAGATTCTATGAAAATTCAAAGAACCTATTGCAATAAAACGGCAATTTCATACATTAACCCCTATATAACCAGAAATAGCGACGAAATGTAATTTAATTTGTTTGAAAACTAATCTGCCAAATCATTACTGTGATAACTGCGCTCCGATTGGCCAGCCCGAATTCGAAACAATTGGCGGGTGTCGTCAATTGTTTCATTTCAGTTTAACTTGACCTTTGCTATAATGGACGATAATTGCAAAATTACATATTAATTACCAATGAAATGTGATTCCGTTTGTTTTGTAATTAGATGTTTTGCTGTTTTTCCTACACCACCGAATAGAAGAGCCCCCATTATTAGAGATATTATCTTCGTTACAATAAATACAGAATATTTTTGGTATATACAGAGACGTACACAGGTCAATTGTTGGCGCGGTACTGTTTGTTTTTTAATTTGTGATTTCAGCGCAAACGAGAGCTAATATTTAAAAGTGATATAATGCCCATTTACCTGATGAGTTGCCAGGGATGGATAGTCCTTTTTTCGTCTCTATTTCTGGTTATATACTCGACGCCCTAAAATAAATGGCTCGCAGTGTCCTGTAAAATATAGCAATAACCCTGTTAATTGCGGGTCGTAGATGCCATTTTCTTTGCTAACTGTTTAAAAAGGGGAACGCCATGTTTTGTTTTGGTGATAAACAAATTATTTAAAAAAATAAGGTGGTGAATAATTCACTTTATTAAGAGTTAAAAGGGCTTGAATATAAAAGTATTGATATCTACAAAGAAGTTTTTCTCGATTTTACAAATTAAAATTTTCAACAAGGTTTTCAACAACAACAATATAATTTAGAGGTGTTTTGTAGAAAGGGTGAAAGCGCCATTTCCATAAATTTTTCAAGGGGTTTTATTTTAGTTTTTCATAACAGTTTTAAAATATTGACGACCTATTTTAATAGTAGTTTATGTGACTGTTACTTAATGAAAGGCATTAAAATACAAGGGTGGGACATCACACGAGTGTTTTAATGCCTAATTATGTACAGTTACATACGCTGCTTTATCTATACACATATTATATGCTCTCTGTGATGTGGTCAGGCACCGCATGTTACGAATGGCGAAATGGCGGCAAATGAATACTTTTGCCACGCATGTCACACAACCGTAGTTTTTATTTAATTCGTACACAAACCATCATATAGTTGGATATTCAGTAACGTGTGAAATTTGTCAAAATTGTTTGCTATTGACATTTCATTTTGAATAAAACTTTATCTCGACGTTTTGTGTTTCAGAGATGTTCGAAATTTGAATGTAATAATAACATCGAATTCGATGTTATTATGAAACAATAATAACATTTTCACAGATAAGAAATTTGTTCTAACAAAACAGTTTATCTTTATGCTGGTGGTAATTTGCGGTTTTTGAACACATTATAGAGGGTTTATGATATGTGTGTAGATAAATACATTTTTATAACTTTAACTTAATTAAAACCAAACTGAAATTGTAAAACAGGACATAATTATTTAAAAAAGTCGTTAAAACCTCAAACATGCTCCCCTGAAAATGTTTTCGAAATGGCGCTGTCGCTCTTTCTACAAAACACCGACAATAAGGAAATGACGTATTTTAGTATACCAGTTTCAAAATCGCATACCTATAATCGTTTTTGATTCAAAAATTATTTTTTCTAACTACCATACTTTTAATTTACCACAGATCATATTCCAATTTACGCTACATACATACGACAATATAAAACGTATTTAAAAAAAATTCTTCCATTTCCAATTTAATAAAATTGTCAAACGTATCAGCTAAACACATATCATTTGTATATTTATTAATGGCATACCACCTGTTACTCTGTGACTAAGTTCACTGTACAAACAAATGACTCTTCATATTTACTCAGCCGTTTTGAAAACCAAATTAAGTAATAGATTAAAATAGAATTTTCTATTATACCGACAACTGCCACGAGGAAAGGCCTTATGTTTGCAAAACAGGGATATTTCTTTGGTCTATTAAGTTACCGGCGGAAAAAGTTACAATTTTTATGATAATTGGTAGATAATTAATTGGTAACTGGTTTGACCTGTTTGTTAACAATCAGGGCATAAAATCAATAACAAAAAAATCTTATTTTACTAGCTACTATAATTTTGATAGTTGGCATAAAAACAATTTTTTTCCTCTTTGTTTTTCCTGTAGTGGTACTTTTTTAAATTCAATCAACATATTTAAGACAAAATGTTCTATCATAGTAACACGTTTGTTATTGGTAATGTGTCAATTACTGGGTGTTCATTATTGGTGAATGTCGATTAATAGTTAGTTCATTAGTGGATTGTTGGTGTTCATTACTGGAGATGCACAGAAATTCCAGTTTGGGTTTTTTTTTCTAATTATAATAGCTTTTTTATGAAACGTATTACAACATACACTTTATTAAGAATTAATAATAATAACAATAATAACGCACACACTCATAACGGCGCACAAGGGAAACCCAGTGTCGCAGGTGACATGGACACACATGTAGACAACCACAAATTACACCCAAACTCACGAGAGAAATAAATGTAGACCATAAAAATATTTCTCCCGGCCCGGGAATCGAAGCCGGGACCCCTGCGTGGCATTCTAGCATGGTAACCGTTAGGTCACGGAGATAGCTAAATTAGCAGTGGATTATATTATCTGTCAAGTAAACTAATCACTATATCAATACGTTTAAAAACAAAAAATATTTCAATTTTGTAAGTTGACTTTTGACAAGCTTTTGAAAGTGCGTCCTACACTTTCCTTAAAATTTCGATCATTAGTACCATCATCCTAAGAAAATCAAAAACAAAAAGCCTTAATTATTAATGGTAAGATCAAAAAGTAAGAAAAATTCCTACGTTCCGGCTTGATTCGAACCAGCGCCTTCAGCATACCGTGCCTGATGCTCTCCCAACTGAGTTACGAAAAGAACCAGCATTCTTAATTCTTAGTTTACCTATAGCACATTACAATCTTTATGGTAAATGTTTCACATAAAAAAACTCTTTAAAATACGGTGTAACTACGCCGTGGAAATTTTGTATCCCTTAAACGCCATTTTTATCCCTCATAAATTATAATAAAAGTTCCAAATAGAGCATGGATTAAACACGTAAAGTGTCTGCTTTATATTATACCCACAGAATTTTTATAAAGGCTAGTGCCGTTTTTAGTGAGAAAAACAATAATGATAATAAAGTTTATTAACATACAAAACACGTTTATGTGTACTCGTTATACCTACTTGTCAAGATAATACAATACACTAAAAAAATATATGTGTAAATATTATATGCCTCAAACGTTTTCCTTTTCTTTATTTCTACAAATAATAGAGTTATCAAGCGTGTTACTCACATTTCTGCAATTTTTATATCGAAAAATATAAATAAATAATAGGAATATTCTTGTTTTACACAAAAGGAGGACGCATGCACGTTCGAAATTACTACCTTACTTCGAAATCTAAGAAGATTCAGATGGTAACGTGGTACAACGAAAACTGAAAAGTAAAATTTATTGTTTTATAAAATGTCATGGAACAAAAGTTGTTGTTTATGATCTTACTAATTATAGTCCTGTGAGGTTATTAGTGTTTTACAAATAACCATGTATAATAATATAATATAATATAATAATAATATAATAACGCACACACTCAACATAGCCCCGCACTAGGGAAACCCTGTGACGCGGGTGCCATGGACACACACATAGACAACCACAAATTACACCCAAACTCACGAGAGAAATAAATGTAGGTCACACAAATATTTCTCCCAACCCGGGAATCGAACCTGGGACCTCTGCGTGGCAGTTCGGCATGGTAACCGTTCGGCCACGGAGGCAGTTAAGTTGTATAAAGAGTATGTCATGTCTATTCGTATCGGCTTGCAAACGCACTTATACATCCGATTCGTATTCGTTCCTTATCCGAGACTATACAAATCTAGAAAACTAGGATCCACTTCGGACGTCTCTTGTGCACTAAGTCCGATTCCAATCCGAGAAAATGCGAATATCGCTTGTACATCTAGAGATAAAATTATCCCTTTGCCATTTCGGACTATCATTTCTCGGATTCGGAACTGCGGGACTACTCTCGATGTCCGTCCGACATCCGTCCAAAACAATTATTGTCAAATAAGTAATATTCGACAAAATTAAAAGACAAGTATCCAGGTATGAAGCTTCATTCGCATCACGCGTCTTTTCATTTGGTCAAGTATTGCTTATTTGGCAGTAATTGTTTCGGACGGATATCGGACGGAGATCGAGAGTAGACCCCCTGATACGAATCGGATGTAGTGTGCAAATGCTCTAAGTGTCGTATTCTAGAACTCTGCTCAATGCTCGAGTCAGGACTTGAGTATGATTCAAAGCACTAGAAATCATACTCAAGTACTTGCCATTGGGGTCGTATTTCTAGTGCTTGAAATCATACTCAAGTCTGCTCAAATCCTGACTTGAGCATTGAGTAGAGTTCTGAAATACGACCCTAAATGCGTTTTTACGCAATATAATTTTTACGTTATATACATATACACTATTGTCAGAAACGAAATGGGTCGTTCTACATCTCAAGACGACATCAACCATTTCTGTTGCTGACAATTTCGACTTCAAGTAACCACAACGATACAAAACGTATTTTTAGTATTGAACTTTTTTTTACAGTATTCTTAATACCCCAGCGCTATGTGTTCGCGATTATGGCGTTATTTGCCGTGGCGAACGCCTATACCATGAGGGTCTGCCTTAATCTGGCCATCACGCAAATGGTACGGAAGTCCGGTTCACACGGAAACGAATATTTTGATCCCGATGCCTGTCCTGATATATCTGGGAACAACATCAGTACTAGTCCCAACAGCTCAGTTCCGGATATTGGTGATGAAAAGGTAAGAATACATAATTGTGATTTTTATTTTGTGATTTAAAATATTGAAATTTAATTGAGCTTTAGAGCTTTAATTATGCATAACGCGAAAGACAGGCCGGTAGCCTTGATAGGGTCGCCTCATATTGCCGCTGCCGGGAGTAAGGAGTGAAATTTTTTGCCAGCCCTATATTCCTTGAGCACTACAATTTGGGCATTTTCAAGGCGAGATTGAATAGGCATTATTTAAGTGTGCATGCTACATCGTCGACCTCATCGTCGATTTCCATCAGGTGAGATGGAGGTCAATCCCAAATTTCTATCCTTTGTTGCCTGGAAGAAATTGCTACATAGCAATAAGGCCGCCTGTTGCACATTATCTTACTATCTTTATACCTAACTTACTTTATTGTATTTTAACTGTAATTTTACCTATGTGCAATAAAGAATATTTCAGATATATATATATATATATATATATATATATTTAATTCATTCATTCATTCAAATGCGCGCTTATTTACTTATAAAAAAGACTACATTTTTTTAAGCAAAAAATTAAAACGAAGATGCAGGAAGCGGCCGTGTATAGGACAAAGTTTATATTACATTGCACGTTTTAATGCATCGTTGTAAGTAATGCACGCCCTGTTTTCTTAACTCAGTATTGTCTTTTAAATCAATGTTTTAGCTAATTAACTGTCAAACTTTTCATAATGTTAACGTTGAAGCCACTGTTTCCACTAATTTTCCGAAACAATTTTGACAGATAATTTTGATTTATTGAAAATAATTCTTTGAGTGTTTTGTAATAGGTTTGCATTTGCGTTTATTTAGGGAACTATTACAAAATGGGACAAAATGAAACATCGACTTAAACCTCGGTACCTGTTCCATAACTGGTATACAAGACAGCAGCAAAATTAATCCATCAATTTAAAACTGACTTAGCAAACATACTTTATAGTCGCAATTAGCAATAGTAAAGAGACATACCCATTGCCATCTAAGATAAAAGATAGTAGTGTTATTTTAATACCTGCAATTTAACTCCACTTCTTTACTACAAATCTTGAATTACAAATATTCAGATTAGAAACTATTTTTATTCATTTGTTTGGATTCGGTTTGAAATCGAATATAGATACTGCTAATATTGAGGTGATATTTTAATATAATTACCGGCACGCGAATAAACGCACTATGTATATTTTGCTTTACTCTATTTAGCATTGGAAATTTCAGGCATCTGAGTCTCGAAGGCGACCAGAGCTAAAGATGAATATTGTTGTAGCAGATCCATCGTAAACTGTAAAGGATTTTTTATTTAATAAAAAAACAAGTGCGCGTTTGACCTCCATCTCACCTGATGGAAGACGACAATGAGGTCGAGGATGTAGAGTGCATACGCGTGGAAACGGACCAAGTTATAGCGTTCGTGAAATAACAATATGGAACAGCTAATTATAAGTCTCAAAAAAGAATCATCCCTTCAAAATCTCGTATACTTTCAGGATTCTTTGTTTGTATAAACACTAGTAATTACTACCTCTATAAATTAATTATCGTAGTTATACGTGTATACTAATGAAAAACCATCTCCATTATCGAATAAAGTATAAGTAAAAATTTGTCACCACAATTAAACTACCTCTTTGTAGGTAGGAATGTTTCTTATTTTGTAATGCAATATCAGTGTGCTTCACATTTATTTGATCTGTGGTGTGAAGGCAATATCGTAGTTTATGATTTATTATTTATACAAATTCACTACTCAGAATATCCCGACCGTACCTCCGGACGTCTATTAGTGGTACTGAACGTAATACTTCTGTTGTCATGAGACTTTTTTTATGATCATCATCAAAAGTTTCCTCAATCTCCTTCCTTTTCAGACCGTCTATTTCGACTGGGATGAAGCCACTCAAGGTATTATTCTGGGTTCATTCTACTATGGCTACGTGCTCACTCATGTTCCTGGTGGAATGTTGGCTGAACGTTACGGTGGCAAATGGTTATTGGGGTTAGGTCTCTTGTCAACTGCCCTGTGTACCTTGCTCACTCCGGTAGTGGTGAAGGCTGGTGGCTCTCCGGCTCTTATCGTTCTGCGTATTGTGGAAGGCTTAGGCGAGGTTAGTTTATCAATTTAGTTTTAATCAAATAATTCAAATCAATTTAGGTTTTACCACATATAACACTAGTTTGTCAAGTAATTAGCAATAGCACAATTTCGTAGGAATTGGGAACATGTTTTTAAATAAACATCTGTCTTTTTTAAATCTAAGTGAGTCTAAAAATGAACATGGACAAGACGAAACTTATGTCGAATGTCCATGTTGTACCCACCCTTATAACAGTGGGAACCTCCACTCTCGAAGTTATTGACAAGTATGTCTACCTCGGGTACACCGTCCAATTAGGCAGAGCTAACTTCGAGGAAGAGGTCAATAGTCGAATCCGACTCAGTGGACAGCTTTCGGGAAGCTCTCGCTCCGCAATATCGCAGTCCTTGAAGACAAAAGTCTTCGAGCAGTGCATGTTGCCAGCGATGACCTATGTCTCTGAAACGTGGTCACTTACTATGGGCCTTATAAAAAAGCTGAAAGTCTATGGAGCGAGCAATGCTTGGCATTTCTCTACGTGATCGAATCAGAAATGAGGCATCACATAGCTCAAAGGTTTAGCAAGTTGAAGTGGCAGTGGGCAGGGCACATACGTCGTAGAACTGACAGCCTTTGGTGCAGAAAAGTTCTCGAATGGAGACCACGAACCGGAAGGAGTTCAGTGGTACGACTCCTGAGATGGCCGAATGACCTGGTAAGTACGGCGAGTAACCGATGGTTGCACGTCGCGTCCGACCGGCTAGTGTGGCAACTTTGGGAAAGACTTATGTTCAGCAGTGGACGTCTTCCGGCTGATATGATGACGATGAAATCTAAAGCCTTTGTCAATGGGGTCATCAGAAGACGGACTAATAATTTACGTATCATATTAAAGATAGTATTCATTTTCTGTTGAAGTCGAATTGGTGCCCTTCAAGTTTCCTTATGGTACGCCGTAGCTCTTTTCATATGATTCGACATACAACAACATAATAATCAATATGCCACACTTCTACACACAGAAGTTCTATTGTCATGAATTAATCATAAATTGAAATTGTACTTAATTGGAAATGATACTGTTTATATTACTTAATTAATTGAATATGTTTCATTAAATGATACAGATATTTCCAAGCTATGTTTGTAAGCTGCTGTTTTGGTTCGTTTGAAAAAACAAATATTGGCGATTCAGATAAAACAAAACATTTCCAATGTGTAACAATTGCTTATAACTTAAGAACTTTAAATTGTAAATTTATTAGTAATATACAAAAGAAACTCCTCAGGGACCAACAATGCCGGGCCTAATGGCTATGGCATCAAAATGGACACCAATAAATGAACGAGCACGGTTTGGAGCAATCATATTTGGGGGCGCGCAGATAGGCAATATAGCTGGTTCATACTTGTCAGGCCTAGTCATGTACAATGGTATTTGGGATGACGTTTTCTACTTGTTCGGTGGACTGGGCCTCGTGTGGTTTGTATTCTGGGTAAGTTATTTTCCTATTAAGTACGTAATTAACTTTACAGAAATTGTAGCTGTCATTATTGCGAGGGTAGAGGACATTTATATTACCTGTCAATGTTATAAAAATTTTAAAAAAATTCAAAAGAGTTAACAAAATGTACCTATTCGAAAAGAAGTAACAATCAATCAAGTAATCTTTTTAAAGTACTTGATGTGGCTAACTTTTGAATTTGTTTTACAGACATTGCTCTGCTTTAGCACACCGAATACACATCCGTATATATCGGATGCTGAAAAGAAGTTCCTTAACCAAAACGTGGAATCTCTAAATAATGCGAACAAGCGACGACTAGATCCTGTACCTTGGAAGGCTTTGTTACGGTCCGTTCCACTTTGGGCCCTCATTATTGCTGGTGTAAGTTGTGTTGTTTGATAAAATATCGACGTTTGTTTATATCCGGGAAATTTTATTTTCACTTTTAAATCCAAAAATGTCCTTTTACAGATTGGCCATGACTGGGGCTACTTCACAATGGTCACGGATTTACCCAAATATATGACTGACGTTCTCAAGTTCAACATCAAGTCTACCGGACTGCTATCAGCTGCCCCTTACATTGCTATGTGGTTTTCATCATTCATCTTTGGTATGATATGCGACTTCTGCGTAAAGAGGGGATACCACAATATCAAAAATGCTAGGAAAATTTATACGACTATAGGTAAGTACAAAATAGATGAGTGAACAATTTGAAGTAAATCAATGAACAGGTGTTTATGTATGCTTTATCATCCCTCCGACATTATTATCGTCACTCAACTCAAAGTGATCTCAACTCAAAGTAATATTTTTTGGTCTAAAACGGAATGTCGCAATACTTTTTAATAAAAGTAGAAGTAAATTAATTCGCTACTCCTCGAACCCAGTGAAGATCAAATCGTGCAAAATAGGCTTGTGTTGAATACTATTTTTCATGCAGTTAACTTCTTCAACTTCCCTTCGTGAAAATTTATAAAATAAATAACTCAATACTACCACTAAATATATACCCGTCACGTGGTTCGCCTCTCCATGAGGCATCCATAGTATTCGTTGATTGTTCGACCCTGGGTCGAAGATCTATTCATTTTCTAATGCCTACTTTTATACGAATCAAAAGTACTACTCTGTGGCTGTTTCATCTTTCTAAGTGTCTAAAGCGTCTTCCGTAGTATTGTTTTGTAATCAAGTATTTTTTTATTAACAGCCGCAACTGGTCCGGGTATTTGCATCATCCTAGCTTCCTATTCTGGTTGTGACACCACACTCGCCGTTTTTTGGTTTATCGCCGCCATGACTCTCATGGGTTCTTACTACAGCGGCATGAAGATCAATGCTTTGGACATAACTCCTAATTACGCTGGTACAACCACATCGCTGGTTAACGGCATTGCGGCTATAGCAGCTATCATCACGCCTTACCTCATTGGGCTGTTGACTCCTGATGTAAGTAGTATGCCTGTTGCAAATACCTTTATAATTAATATAATACGTACTAATGTTTTAGTTTATTAATTTAGATTAATATTTAAGGTAAATGTGTTACAATTTTAGTTGTAAAAGCCGTGGCAACCTAATGGTTTAACATACCGCCTAAGAGGCCAGGGTTCGAATCTGGGCTCGCACCTCTTAATTTCTCGGAATTTATGTGCGAAATTTAATTTGAATTACCATGAGCTATTCGGTGAAGGAAATAATCGTGATGAGACCTGCACGCTGAAGAAAAGTTTACTGCTTATCGGTTTTCTACTGGATATATCACGGAGGGTGTGCGATGGAATTACACAAATTAATTCCGCCTTCCCCTTTCCACCATCGGGGGAGCAAACGTAGGCTGGGGTTCCACCCTTATGTTGTGGATATTCCAAGGATTCGCTTCCACATTTATATGGCGAACGGCTATGGGGTGGAATTCCCTGCCTGCAGACTTATTTTCTGAACGTTATAACTTGGGCCTTTTCAAGGCGAGAGTGAATAGGCATTATTTAGGTGTGCGTGCTCCAACGTCGACTTCATCGTAACTTTCCATCAGGTGAGATGGAAGTGAAATGCGCACTTATTTTTTAATAAAAAAAGAAGGTTTACAACCCTCGGAAAACGTGTCAAGTCCCCAACCCACATTAAATCAGCGTGGTGGACTATGGCCTAAACCCTGGCCTAAGAAAAAACCCGTGCCCAGCGGTGGAACGTATAAATGGGTTGATGATGATTAGTTGTAATACAAATAATAAATTGAATTGAACTAATAGACGATAACTGTATCTGGGATTTCGTTTACTCACTTCGAAAAAAATAATCAATGTCAATATTCTTTCAGTCGACTCTCAAACAATGGCGAATAGCGTTCTGGGTGTGCCTGGGAGTGTTGGTCGTTACCAATATTATATACATTTTACTAGCGCAAGGTCAGCAACAATGGTGGGATGACGTGAAAAAGTACGGATATCCGAAAAATTGGAAACACGGACCCTTGCCAACTAGAACTATAGACAGTGAAACATCAGAAGATACAATAGAAACAAAGAAAAAAGACGAAAAATAGGAAAAGTATTTTTATGTTAATTAATCATTAAGTCAAACTGTAAATATAATATTACGTAATATACTCTCTGAGTCAAGGTTGTATTAAGACAATAATATAAATATTTATTTTAGAATACGGTTTTTCTTTTTCTTCTTTGATGCATAATAAAATAAAGGTAGTTATTTACTTCCCTTAATCTTATCATTAATTTTTATTCTTTGTTCAATAACTTCAGGGTGCGGTTATTTGCACAGGCTGGTTTTTTTACATTTAATGTTGGGTGGTTTCAATCTGTTTTGTCGGAGTCCACATGTACTTAGTGTCGCGAAGATTTTGTACACATGTTTGGTTAAATAGTATTTTGATTAATCTATTTGGATTCTATTGTTTTCTTGAGGTATTGTTTTTCTAATGGGGCTGACATATTCAATAACGATCAAAGCCCCTAAATAGATAAAGATTAAAAAAAAACTTCGCCTATATTTTATTGAAGAATCGATATTCGAGGTGAGGAACCTGATTTCCTATAATACAAGCTTCTGCTTAGTTTATTTATTTTTATTTTTTAAATTTATTTATATACAGGTTGCAAAAATCCATAAATACATACTTTATAGACATACATAACAATATTATATAACACTAGTGACTAATTATTATTTACACGTATTTTCTGCGACGTGTAACGCAACGGATGAGTTTAGGTGTCAGTCTCTTTCAAACATAATGAAATATCTCTGTGTATGTATATTTGAATCTTGTATAAATAATTATGCTTGTGGAGAAATAAATAAATACATTATTATTATTATTATTATTAAGTGTTATTCTAATAAATTCTTAGTTTCCTGTTTATATTTTCTGTTTAAGTCATTTAGAGCTGCGAAGGAGCGTATTCTACTTACTGCGACACCAACTATAGAGCGGTAACTAACTACGAGCTTGTATGAAAATCGCAGTCATACATTACACAATAGGGTGGGTCACCTTAGTATGATTTTTTTTGTTTTTTGTATTGTAATTGCACTAAAAACTTGCCAAATGGTAAATTAGAACGAAATACTTTATTGTCATTGACGAATGTTTTCTGTCTGCGGATAGACGTTTTAAAGTCCTGACTCATGAAAATCTAAAAAAATGAGGTTATTGGTTTATGTAAGAAAATAGTAGTTTATGTGACTGTTACATAATGAACGGCACAAGTGTTTTAATGCCTTATTATGTACAGTTACATACAGTGCTTTATATATACACACTTAGAACAATAACGCATAGAATGATAGTTTCATATCAAACGAACTGTCACAAGTGAGGCAAAAACCAAATTCATGTAGGCGTAAGCAACTTGTAACTACGCTCGTCGGCACGCACATAAATATACAAATAATGATGCCATGGAATAACATTTCCCTCAAAAGTGGGGAAATTGTATCTTGCTTAACTCATCATTAAGTTAAAGGTGCCTACAGATTTGCCCGACATTGTCGATCAGGTGCCTACAGATGTGCTCGATTTTGTCTTGAAAACGATACCCAACTTGCAATTATTCGAAAAATCGTGCCCGCCATCTTGGATTTAGAAATGAGTGCCATATTCGTAATGAGCATCCCCAAATACCTCGAAAAGGATACCCATATTGCATTTTTTTTTAAATTGTGTCCGCCATCTTGGATTTAGAAATAAGTACTATATTCGTAATGAGCACCCCCATATACCCCGCAAACGATACCCAGAATCAAAATCAAAATAATCTTTATTTCATAGGTAAGCATTATTACACTAGAAATCGTCACATTGGTTAAACTCTACCGCTCATTCGTAAGGCAGATTCCCCCGAGAAGAATGAGCAAGAAACTCTGGGGGTTGCTCTTTGTAAACAACATTTGTATGCATTTAACTTGCAGAAATGGAGGTCAAATGCACACTTAGAATAAAAAAAATCTGCAGCCATCGCGATATTGCCTATTCTCAAAAAATTACGTAATATAATTATTTTGAAACAGAATAGCAAAATCGGGAGAAAGAAATCCGTTACCTACTTTGCAACATTTTCGTGTCTTGTTGCAACGAAATTAATTTTCGGTTTTAGTGAATATTTATATAAAAATACAAGTTGAAACGCGTTACTTCCTTGTGGAATGTGATTTTAGTGTCTATTTGATGTTTGCCTGTTCTATTTTTAAACCCATACGGCACATTTCGTCATTTTTAGCAAAAATTTGGAGCTGTTCGCGGTGCAATTTGACCTTAAGCACTGACAGCCCGCCCGCTCGTGTAGGCCGTTTGGGAAGCCTCTAACTTGCCTCACTTAGCGTGTGCGGGCTAGGTTTCTATGCGTCATTATTCTAAGTATACACATATTATAAGCTCTCTATGATGTGTTCAGGAACCGTATGTTACGACTGGCGAAATGGCGGCAAATAAAATCTTCTCAAGCATGTCACGCAACCGCAGTTTTTTTTTAATTCGTAGGCAAACTAGAGTCGGCCCCACCTATCACATCTTTCGATATCAAGTAAAGTGGGAAATTTGTCAAAATTGTTTGCTATTGAAGTTTGCTATTCTTTTCGAATAAAACTTCATTTGGACTGGTATTAGAATTGAGGTCGAATCAAATTGTTTTGGTTTTCAGAGATATTCGAAATTTGAATGTAATAATAATTTTGATGTTATTAATAGAGCAATAATAACGTTTTCACAAATAAGAAATTTGTTCTAACAAAACAGTTTACCTTTATGCTGGCCGTGATTTGCGGTTTTTCAACACATCATAGAGGGTTTATGATATGTGTGTAGATAAATATTGTTAAGTATTTATTATTGCAATGCGCAATGAATCTGGATTATTGAATGTTTGCTCATCCAAAACGTTACATCATTGGTTGTCCATCCTTTTGACAATATAATGACAGGTCTCAACCACAAAGTTCAATATTGTACCAATAGGTGGCAGCTCAAAGTATTCCACGAGTTTTTAGGAATTAACCTGTTCCGGAAGTTAAATAAGTGCCATATATTAAGAGAAGCTACTACTATGGGTTACAAACGTGCCCCCTTGAAATAAAGCGTACAGTGTGAAATAAAGCGTGCTAACACATGAGGTCCAAGCCCAAAGACAATTACTAACTAATCGTGCAAGCGTATATAGAAGCGTTAGACTATGCAATAATATTGCTGCTGTGACATTTTAAAGACAAACCACCACGTTTTATAGGTTTTCAACAACTTGATCAGCTCTCGTTAATTCGTCAACATAACAAAGTTATTTAACCGTCACAATTGTGAAAAAATTAAGATACCCACGCACTTAACAACAGGATTGGGTGTTTTTTTATTATACCAAGTGACGGGACGAACAAATCGTGTGCCTGTTGATAAGTTTTGATAAGCGACACTCCATGAAAGTTGCAGTGCCAATCAGAATTTTTGTAGCAGTAGAGCTCCTTGTGAAAGAGTCCGTCCAGGAATGTACTTACTGCCTTGCCTATTTCTGCCGCCAAGCAGTAATGTAAGCATTGTTGCGTTCTGCTTTTGAAGAATAAGGGTGTTAATGAAATTACATGCACATGAAACTTGTCAACTTATGTCTCAGGATGACGGGTGCAGTGACAGTGGCAGCAAAACCTTTGCGATATAAAGCTCTGATCTAACACTGCAAATGTTATGGACAGGCGTGTCGCTTACTGCCCCAGTTCGTCACGTTACTTGGTAACAAAAAGGAATTTGATCGCAAATATTTATTATTTATTTATTTATATATGTCTGGTATTCATTTATTATAAATAATAAAAATCACTTATTGCAAACAATATACATACCATTTTGTTAGTACACTTACAAGCTATCTATTCTACTGTTAGTACAAAAGTTACAGAATAAAAATAAAATTAATGAATGAAATTAATTGTATTGAATTGATTAAAAAAACGATTACATGATACTTGCTAAGTTCACCGAGCTCCCCGGACGTGAATTATTATTATTACTATTTTTTAATCCGAACACTGGGCACTGTCACAATATACTTGGAACTTTCCAGTTGTACTTGTATTTGCGCCAGTACCCGTACACATCGAAGTAATGCTCACATTATTGCTTGGCGGCAGAAAACGGTTTGGTGGCAGCATTTCTGTGGACGATCCCATACACAAGGAGCTTTACTGTAACTATATATTTATGTATGTCTGGTATTCATTTGTGTCTTATAGTCATGCATTCACATAAACATGTGAACATTCTAAAATTTCTTATTCTTTTGTTACACAAAACGAGCTAAGCATTTTCACCAATTGTTCTTTCTTTAAACCAATCTCAGTTAATCCCTACAATCAGCAGCAGTTGTTTGTTTTATTATCTTGTTGGTTTAATTTGTTAGATCTCATGGCACTGTGTTCACGTAAGTACGTGTTACACTGACAGTCAGTTTTATAATTATACAGTATTTTGTACTTTTTTATTGTGACGTAATTTGTAATGTCCAATTACAAATAGATAAAACAAATTATTCAAGAAATGACATTGGAAGGATGGCGGCTTTTGCTGAACCGGGGTATGTCAAATAGCAAAGTGTTGTATAACTAATTTACTTCGTTGTAAATAAAGTCGTGATTTATTTCGCGTTTTTTGTTTCCTTAGTTACAGTTGCTACCTCTATATCTTTTTTACTATTAAATGTTTTACTACCAAAGTTGATAAGATATTTTTAAGAAAAAAGACACAAAATGCTTATTTTTACCAAAGGAAATGAGAGACACTAGTAGGGGGTGTTAACTATCTTAGTTAAAGAAGCGGAGCTTGCGTTACTAATATCTCTTTTACAATGGATCCTGCTGACAAATAAAGCAGATTTTTGATAATTATGGTAGGTATTGTAGGATACAAACGCAACTGTAATATGAGATGCCGTTTTATTAGCTAACATTCTTCTAAGTGACATGGCGAAGACTTTAACAGCTCTACTGTTTGTTATACATGGTCTGGGTATTAACTAACCTACTCAGTACAAGCACAGCAAAAGGATGATAACTTATAAATTTCGATCTTTGAGTTATTTGAAAATACTAATAATCTCGCAGGACTATATTACTAACATCGTAAACAACAACTTTTATTCCGTGATTTTTAATAATTCATTAGATTTTACTTTCGTACAAAAGTATAAATATTTAAATAGAATGCTCCAAACGGTGAGCTCTGTGCAATAGTAAAAGAAATTTTTATTCCGTGATTTTTAATAATTCATCAGATTTACTTTCGTACAAAAGTAACA